AAAAAAAAAAAATAAATAAATAAATAAAATAAAAAAACGTCTTAACGAAAAGTCTGTCCTGATAAATGCGAAAAGGTCATGGCATGGACGCAACAGCTGGTGAATGAAGGAGCAACACTAATATTATACTGCATGCTTGCGTATATACGTGGCACCGTGAAAAACGCCGATGTAGGCATATATACCTAAAATGCGAAAAATGTGTATGAAAGTTCTTCTCTTTTCCTCTGTCTACAACGGACCCACACGTAAGACTTGGCATATCACCGATCCAAGACAGTATATAGTTTTCTTTTATTTTTCGATTACGTATTCACATCAAAATACCGTCTCCTGCTTTTAGTAAAAAAATCGGTATGTTTATTATCGATGTATACATCTTTGTTGTGCGTATTCTCGATGATATCATATCCACCCGTCCCCCCGTCAATTTTCTTGGGACGAACTTCTTGCACTGTGCACAGAAATAGCAAAAGTTATACATCACGAAATCGGATGCCGTGTCGACCAGCCGATCGTTAATCTCCTAAAATCGGCGATGCTTGAGAAACTCGACAAATACCCGCGGTCCACAATATATATATTATATGCAAATATTAATATTAAGTACATTTTTCGTTGTTTTAAATTAATATAAACATAAGTTTAAAATAACAAAAGGTGAACCATTATAATAACAACAAGTAAGAAAGTGCGTGTTTTTTAGATAAAGTATAGGTACGTTACTCAAATAATAAACGAACATGTGTGCTCGCACACACAGAGCTGTCGTTTTTTGCTTGGATGGCGATGATACTTGCAAAGGCCGATCAATCTTATTCCCCTTTTGACAAATGCCCAAGAATTCGCTGTGTGGTTCGAGCTGGTGGAAAAACAACGATCTCTGACTGATTCAAAAGAGAGTAAATTTTATACAGAGCGATTATTGTATATACCTATGTAGGAGAGCTCGTGTTTAAAAGGGGCTATTTTTGGGACTTTCCCCCCCAAGAAGGCTTTTAAAGATGCACAGCTTATTCCCCGTTATTGGTTGCCGGTATATCCGTTATTACTACATAAATATATAAACTTGTATGGGTGCGTGTCCCATCAATACATATACAGCACAAAAAAGTAAAATAATTAATTTATTATTGGTAAGTATAAGAGAGTTTTCCTACCAATGCAGGATTTTTACCCGATAAACGGTCGATGTATGGCGGTACAAATTTCCCTGGAAGTGAGCTCGAGAGCGATGAGATATACGATGATGATGCTGAATGTTTATTCATATTTACTACAGTGAGCCTCGATAGGGATACCTTGAGGATCATCATTAGTGCTCATTCATTTTTCATTTATTGATTATTCATCACTCAAAACATTAACTATGTTCATCTGAAAATCAGCGTCATTTGGCGGTGCTGGTATTTGCGCACCATTTCAATTTGCATATTTTCTACAAAGATGATGATGGACATTAATTCAATAATTTTCATTCTCTGTCGTCACAACACGGTCACGATACTGATGCTCTCGCCCCCCCCCCCCGCCATTGTTGCTGTAGCAGACGACAGATTTCTACGCGCGTTTACATATATATATTATAGGATATATATGTAATCAATGTATCAATGAAGTTTATATTAGTCTGGTTTTTATAAGTTAGAGTCGAAATGTCGGAGTAATTAAACCAGATCAAACGTAAAAAATGTTGAAGCCGAGGTAAGCTAATTAAACTTTTTCCTGATACAATGGACAAGTAGATGAAGAATCATAAATATTTATAATATTTACGTCTCAATTGTAATTCATGTAACGAAACAACATGTGTCTTTATTGGTGACAGACAACCAAAACATAACCTTACCGGTATTGCTCTTGTCATCTATAGTAACAACAACACCACCAGCAAGGATCTACCCAGACAATAAGCGCCTACGATTCCACGATGTCGGAGTCTCAGGAAACTCCAGCGGTGGTGGAAAATCCGGACTCGGACATCGTGACCGAGGAGGACCAAAAATTTCTGGACGATTTTCTGAAGGAAACGGAGCAGCGACTCGCTGCCAAGGAAGAAATTCGCGTGACCAATGCGAACGCTAGCCGACCTCCTGACTCGTACTTCAGCAAGCTCGACTCCAGCCTCAAGCGCAACACCACCTTTGTCAAGAAGCTCAAGACCTTTGGTGGTCCCCAGGTAGACGCCTTTATGAAGGACATGGTAAATTTAAACCTCACCAAGTACGTGAGCGAAGTTGCCAGTGCTCTTGTCGATGCCAAGCTGAAAATGACGGACGTAGGACCTGCCATAAGAGTGTGCAGCTTCTTGCATCAAACCTACGCAGAGTTCTCGTCGCACTTCTTTGAGAACTGGCAAAAGATTCTGTCCATCAAAGTCAGCGACAAGATTGCCAATCCTAGCAAGCTCAGGGTTGATTTACGGTTCTATGCCGAGCTTATTAATGCAGGTATCTTCACCCACAAACAGGGGCTACCTCTCTTGGGCTCTGTGCTGATGGTCCTTATCAATATGGACAAAGAAGAGCATAACAACGCTAGTATAATATTGAGTTTTTGTAAGCACTGCGGCGAGGATTATGCTGGTTTGGTACCCAAAAGAGTAAGAGAGCTTGCGGACAAACTGAACGTTACCTTACCCAAGAGTAAGCTACTCACGCCAGATAAGCAACAAAACGTGAGGTCGTTATTGCGCGATTATTACAACTCCCTGTGCAAGCATCTCTTGAAGGACCACAAGGAGCTACAAGCTTTTGAAAAGCAAAACAGAAAGATTCTACAAACTAGGGGTGAGCTTAGCTCAGAGAGGAAAGAAAAGCTTGAATCTCTCAAACTTTCTTATGAGCGCTTGCTGCTGAATGTACAGAACTTTTCCGACACACTGGATGAGCAAATGCCAGAGCTGCCGATCGACAATGAAGTGAAGACCGAAGCGGATGAGACGCTGAAGATGATCAGTGAAGGCGAGGAGAACACCACGATGGAAGACATGTGGGGAGATGAGGAGACGCGACGGTTCTATGAGGTTCTTACTGATCTGACTTTTATCTTGCCTGGCTCCTTTGCCAAAGAACAACTGGCCAAGCAGGAGAAGCAGGACACCACGATAACCGAAGAAGTACTGGACCAGGATCTGACGTTCGATGAACTCGAGGACATTGAAAAAGTGGAGGAGCCCGAGCCGGAGGTTGAAGAGCCGCAGGTTACGAATATTAGTAACAAGATCATGCTGGATGCGTTCATATCCCATCTGCCGAACTGCGTAAACCGGGAGACGATTGACAACGCAGCTGCGGATTTTATTATGACTCTCAACACCAAGCACAACAAGAAGAAACTCATCAAGGCTCTCTTTGGCGTGTCGCGCATCCGTCTGGATCTTTTACCTTTTTACTCGCGACTCGCGGCTATTCTTCACCCTGTAATGCCCGAAGTCGGCAACGAGCTTTGCCAAATGCTAAAGCACGATTTCAAATACCACGTGCACAAAAAGGACCAGATCAACATCGAGTCCAAGATCAAGGTGGTGCGCTACATCGGCGAGCTCGTCAAGTTCAAGCTCTACTCGAAAATCGAGGCCCTCTACTGCCTCAAGGTCCTGCTCCATGACTTCACCCATCACCACATCGAGATGGCCTGCAACCTACTCGAGACCTGCGGTAGGTATCTCTTTTGCTCTCCGGACTCTCATCAGCGCACCAAAGTCTACCTCGAGCAAATGATGCGCAAGAAAGCCGTCACCGCTTTGGACTCACGCTACGTCACCATAATCGAGAACGCCTATTACTTTGTGAATCCACCCGAGAGCCTCGGTAGCATGCCGAAAAAGTACAGGCCACCCATGCACGAGTTCATACGGAAGCTGCTCTACCAGGATCTGTCCAAGACGAATACGGACAAGGTTCTCAAGTGGATGAGAAAGCTCGAGTGGGACGACGAAGGCGTCGCTTCTTACGCCATCAAGTGCCTCACCGCGGCGTATAACGTCAAGTATCTGAACATACGCTGTGTCGGTAGCCTACTAGCGGGTCTCGTGGCGCATTACGAGGCAGTCGGGCCGTTCGTGGTCGACGGCGTACTCGAGGACATAAGACTTTGCATGGAGATCAATTTGCCCAAGTATAACCAGCGTCGTATCGCCATGGTCAAGTATCTAGGGGAGCTCTACAATTACAGGATGGTCGAGAGCAGCGACATATTCAGGACACTGTACCTCTTGATTACGTTTGGTGTGAGTATGGACCACTCGGTGCCGAGTTCTCTCGATCCTCCCGAGCACCTGTTCCGCATCAGGCTAGTCTGTGTGCTGCTGGAGACCTGCGGTCAGTACTTTAGCAACGGTTCGAGCAAAAAAAAGCTCGACTACTTCCTCGTGTTCTTTCAACACTACTATTGGTTCAAGAGGACGGACCCGGTCTGGACACCCGACAATCCGTTTCCCGTTGGTGTCAACTACATGTTCCGGGATACACTCGCCATGTTAAGGCCAAAGATACGGCTCATTGAGAGCTTGAAAGAAGCCCAGGACGCAATAGAGGAGCTCAAACATACGTTGTATCCCAACTTGGAGACAGAAGTACCGACCGACGAAGAGACAGGTGACATGAACACGATACCGGAGGTTGACGAAGAAGCTCCAGCAGTAGATAATAGTGATGCAAAAACAGAGTTGCACTTTGAAGAAGTGGAAGACGCGTCTGAAGTACAAACCGATGACGATGACGACGACGACGATGATGAGGAGGAAGAAGACGAGTGGACGAATGGAGCTATGGACGGGCGTCATGGAAAGCTGCCGCGACATACCGAGGGTACGCAAGACAATACTCAGGGTGAGGGTAACAGTCTATCGGAAGGAGGTGGCACGGTGCTGATGGACGCAGAGATGGTCTCAGTACTACCTTCAGGTCCGAAACGTATCCTATGCCCGGAAGATGACGACTTTCTGTCCGCTCTCGACAAGATGGTCTCGGACAACATTCAGGATAGGATGCGCGAGGGCGCGAAATCCCAGCAGGTGGATATATCGGTACCACTCCACGTTAAAAGTACTAAAAAGACGTACGAGCAGCTCCAGGAGGCACCTGTCACGGACTCCTCGACCGTTGACTTTGTTCTGATGTTGCGCAAAGGAAATAAACAGCAGTACAAGAATTTGGCAGTGCCAGTGTCTTCCGAACTAGCAATGAACCTGAGAAACAGAGAACAGGAGCAGAAGGAAGAGAAGGAACGGGTCAAAAGACTGACGCTCAATATCACGGAGCGTCAAGAGGAAGAAGATTATCAGGAAGCGATCAATCAAGGTACCAGGCCTGTTACGGTTAATCTTAATAGGGAGAGGCGGCAAAAGTACAACCATCCAAAAGGTGCACCTGATGCCGATCTCATTTTTGGACCTAAGAAGATTAGGTAAGAGAACTGGTATATTGATGGTCGACCTTTCTTTTCTTCGTCTTCTCCTATTGTGAATAATAATGTATTTTGAGCGGCTTTTTTCCATTTTGTTGTATCATAAGGAAAAAAAAATTTGTAAGTTTGTAACTTTACTTTGTAAAAATAGTTTACGTACTATCGTGCTAGGCTGTAAGGGGTAACAAGAATACAAGTGTCGAATTACACTAGATAGTGTTTTCCATGTGAAACCAATTTTTTTTTTTTTTTTTTTTTTTTTAACAGTATGAATTTCATAATTTGTAAGGCGCTTGTAATTAGATATAAAAAAAAAGTTCATTTCAATTTTTGTTACATATGTATCATAAAATTCATTTAGAGTTAATAGTTGTAAAAAACGTTTTTTCTTTAAACTTTTACTTTTAGAACATGTGATATTTTTGTGGCAAAAGTGAATTCATTTTAAAAAGCGTCAGTAAGCTTTAATATAAACTTTTAAGAATTTTAATTTGTGAAAAAATAAAAGTCTTCTGCATTTTCTGCAAAAGTTCAATGAAGTTTAATAAATTGAAATTTTTTTTGTATTGTACAAAACTATTCTTGTGAACCTATACAAAAAATTAATAAAATTTTTGAATAAATAATAAGAAAAATTATGTGCGTTTTTATTACGTTGAATGATTTTTATCTATGAAAAACCGCCATGTACAAAATAAATATAAATTAAGTCAATGATTTTGAGAGATTTGTTACATGCTTTTTTCCGTGCATACGATTATGAATCAGTGTTTTTTTTTCTTTTTACTCTACGAGAGTATGCGTGAAATAAGTGACACAGAATTGCAGATCGTAACTAAATGCTGGAAAATACAAGCTGCGACAGAAAATACTGATTTCGTCTTTAAGGATCTTCTTCTGCATCTTCAAACTGACCTGCCTCGACGTCCATGGCTTCCTCCTGTATTTCCGTGCCGTTTTGACCTCCCATTCGTTCTAAAAAAAATATAGTTGTAGAGTATATAAAACAACTAAATTAAAAAGAGATCTGAATTACTTTACCTGCAGAGATAATGTATGGAGCATCTCCTGCGCCAACCTCTAAGTGCTCGAATTCGTCCTCTTCCGCGTCTAAATAAATATCTTCTTCAGCTAACGAAAGATTACATGTACCATTAATATTGATAAATCAATGGAAGTATTAGGAACATAGGCAAAGATAATATACCATCAGAGAAGCTGTCTTGTGGGTCAGGATGGAGTGCTTGGCACTGGTTCATTGCTTGAAACATGGCATCTAAATTGTTCGTATCATCTGGCGCGAATCTCATTTCAGTGATTGGAGCTTCAGAATCGTCATCTTGGTTGATCTCATCGCTATCATCTGCATTTCTCTCACTGGGTTCTAATGAAGAGCCATCTAAAGAATAAAATAATTTACAGCTGTAAAAAATAATCTGACAAATTAATCACAATATTAAATTTACATCATTATGTGAAGTATGTGCAGCAATATGAATTCTAACTAAACAGTACATTGATGTCGGCTCTATATTTTTTGTTATCTACCTGGAAAGTCTACTTTAGCATCAACCATCACATAGAGACATTGCCTGTGGTGTGTTTGGTCATCTCGTGAAATAGCATGTAAGGATATATGATCGTACTGGAGAGAAAATCCTTGTCTGGTGTCGTTGTTTACCCATGAAAGCAAGCTGTTGATGTTTTATGATTTTTGTGAGATCTTTATTATTTTGATGTAAAGAGTACACCAATTTTCAAAACTATTATATGTACAAGACAAGATTGAATAGCAAAGGAAACTATACAAATGACATTGGAATTGAATCACTAGGCACATGCATATAAATGAATGGAACATGGATTAAACATACCTTTCTGTGATGTACAAGGTTCCTTTGCCAACTTCTGTGTCATTGATGTACAAAGTGGTATGTGACTCCTCATGACGAATGCCCTCCTCAGGAGCCAAGAAATTACTTAGCACAACCATATTTTAATCTGAAAAATAACGTTCACGCATGTACTATCAACCCCTTATCTCTACCATTAGTGTCATTGCTACAAAGACCCGAGCTAAACATATCTTCCATTAATTATATTCAGCCACGACCATAAGTATGCCAGGCACACTGTACAGCCAATAAACTGAACTACACTTGAACCTAACGCACATATAAGCCAAGTGCTTGAAATAAACTCCAAAACAATAAGTTAGAACAATAAAAGCCCGCAAAGTGAACTATCCCAAGCACTTGAAAAACATCTTCAGAGACTCATTGGCGCGCCTATACAAGTAAACAATAAATATACATGTTAAAAAAAAGTTTTAAAAAAGCCGGATATCGATTAAAACTCAGCAACTCACCTCACAAAAAAACACTTTACAATTATTCCACGCGACTTTCTCGTGCGGAGAACTCTTTCAGCTCAAAAAAACACAGGTGAGTAGATATATCTAAAGAAAACAACCTAGCAATCGCTGGACAGACTTTATATGGTAAGGTAAAGCGACTCCGAGACGATTTTATGCAGTGCTGGACGATCGAAGCATTGTCGCCGTCCCGTGAGCCTCTATTTTTGTTGAACGGGTTTTGTTGACCAAGCGGGTGCACCTTCTTCACTTGTGCACTAGTTAATATATTGGTAAGGGCTAAGTTTGTATTCTGCAAAGCCTCGTTAGAATTGTATGTGTGATTTAATGTAACCAGACCAGACACTACACAGGTAAAATAAAAAACTGGAGAGACGAAGAATGGTTTACTTGTTTATTCATATGTCGATCGGTACTAATAAGTACCTAATTAAAGTTGCCTCCAACAGAGTTCTCATACTAACAACTGATACTAAACAATCATGCAGAATCTGCAATTAGCAATAATAGATATGCACTCTGGACTGCTGCACATGCAGCCTCTGCTCCAAAATATAATTTGCAAGTATAATACAGGCATATACCGATGTACCTCGTGTGTGTAAATTACGGAAGCCCAGATAAAAACGCATTAGCACTCACAAGAATAAGTACTTGTGAGTGCACAAAAACACGTACGAGACCCAAAAGTATAAATATATGGGAGGTCGATTTTTGGGTAAAAGATATATTGTTAAGTTGCCGCAAATAGCATAGAAGCGTTAACTTTTTATTTTATATCTATAAGATTAGTTGCGGCTGGTTTATAATTGATTAAATGGCTCTACTGTAAGTTGTAATAATTATTTGGATCAGCGCCATCTAGCGTTGCGAATTTCTGAACTAAAAAGTGGCCCTAAACTTTTGAACCAGAGCTTTAGCGCGTAGAGCCATTTAGTCAATTATAAACCAGCCGCAACTTATATTGCAGCTATAAAATGAGAAAATAACGATACATGTGTTTTTGGCGGCAAGTTAACAATCTATTTTCTACCAAAAAATTGACCTCCTATGTATTTATACTTTTGAAGATAAATTTTCGAGCATAAGATAAATTGCTAACTTGCCGCCAAAAACACATGTATCGTTATTTTTTCATTTTATAGCTTTATCACGAGTTGCGGCTGGTTTATAATTGACTAAATGGCTCTAATCCTGATTGCTCTGGTTCAGAATTTTAGGAGCCACTTTTGCCAAAAAATAAAAACCGCTAGATGGCGCTGATCCAAATAATTATTGCTATTTACAGTAAAGTCACTTTATTAGTTATAAACCAGCCGCAAATAATCTTCTAAATAGACGATAAATAATTCGTACTATAAATAGCCCGAAAATCGACCTTCAAAAGAATAAATATTCTACTTATCTTAAAAGGCTTATAAAATCGATAATATTTACAAAATTTCAATACTCTAGATCTTTTACCATTAACTCATGTAAGCACAAATTAATCAGTCTAAAAGAAACGACTAAACAAAAAAGGCCTAAAAGAGAAGCACAGTCACACGAAAAGTCTCCTAAGAATGGAGCATCGGATCTCACTTGATCAGAGAGAAGGTTGGCTCCTTTGTTTACTTATAACACTCATATGGCACATGGCACTACACATATTTTAAAAATATACTTTGGATTTTATAATTCTGGTAAAGAGAGCACGGTGTAAGATAGGTATCCGTGAAGTTATGTGTAGTACTTACAAGTTAATATTGTAGTAAGTACGCGTTTTTATGCAGTTGAGCAGTGATGAGCACTCGTACGACTACGTTTTTATGTAGATAGATGTCGTGACCGGGCTTCCGTAGTAATAAATAAAATGCATGTGGTGATTTGTGGCGAGTCAACTTAACGAATGTGGAAAGCAAGTGCATGAAAGAGGCCGGAAAGATGCTGTTGTTTATTTTGTCGTGATTCTTGTATTGAATAATATTTTAATAATACGTATGTAGGATGAGGCCCTTGATCTCACCTTTTTCTCTTTTCAAATGTTACACTCGGCGATGCAAAACACTCATAAATATCAAGCGAAACCCTCGATTATTGCACACAACGTCCGGTACGTATTTGTAGTTTGTTTATGTCACCCTTGAATGACACTTGTGTACATAAATCGCTGACGATATTATTGTATTACAGGTGTATTTCACGGGGATTACGAGTGGCAAGATCCAAAGTCAGAGGAGGAAGTGTAGGTAACTTCAATTATACATTCCCTGTACTTGTTCATGACATTTTTGTTATAATTGATTACGTTAAATTGTGGAATTTTTTTAGAGTTAATGTTGTGTACATCGATAAAAATGGTAAGAAGATACCCGTTAAGGGTAAAATTGGGGATAATGTATTGTACTTGGCACATAGGTACAACATAGAAATGGAAGGAGCTTGTGAAGCTTCTCTGGCTTGCACCACGTGTCACGTTTATGTTGATTACAATTATTTGGACAAGTTGCCCCAAGCTGCGGAAAAAGAAGAGGATCTCCTAGATATGGCTCCGTTTCTGAAAGAGAATTCGAGATTAGGTATTTTGTTTCTTAACATCTATGAGAATGTCAATTGGTATTGAATGTAACTAACAAGTTTTCCTGTTTTTTTGTAGGTTGTCAAGTTATTTTAACAAGAGAGTTGGATGGCATAGAACTCCGATTGCCTCAAATAACCAGGAACTTTTATGTTGATGGACACACACCAGCTCCACACTAAGTGCATTGTCTCCCAATACAAAGAATTGAAATATTTTGTATTCAACAAATGACGATGGATTTGCTAACTTTCAGGGAAAAACAATTCACTTGTAAATGTGATCATTTACATTACTATGTAGTAATATATTTAGTTTATCTATACTAAAAAAATATACTATATTTTTCTCATATAATTGGACTGTCTATTTTTACAATTACATAAAATATTTTGGTTTTTATTCACTAGATTGTAAAGGAGAACAATTTTTCACGTCAAGAAACAGCAATAAATAACTCATACTTTTTTTTTTAATGAGAATTTTTATTTTACACGTATAATTATTATTATCATTGTTGCTCGATTATCGTTTTACATTGGTTAGGCAATAAGTATTTTAGTAATCTTTGTGTTTTATTTATACATATATATATATTTTTTTTTTCACACAGTTTTGCATATATTGATATAGACATGATTTGTTTCCGCTATCTATCAATTTTTTTTAGTAATTGTTCACACATTTCTCATTCATACTTCAATAGTTTGGATGCATCACAACTATATATTCAAAATTCACTCTCATAAAATTTTTATCGCTTTCATATTCCTTGTACATTTTTTGTTCGATGTTTTCCTCGTTGGTAAACATATTTAACGTCGATCAGAACGAGGCAAAGTAACTACTGATGCAATTTGATTAGTAATGTGGTACGTGAACAGTGAATATTTAAAGTAAAATATTTGATTAGTAAATTTTTCATTGTAAAAATCGTAGAGGGCTCGAAAGTAGAAAAAGTCAGAAAAAAAATTGTGGTGCGCATTTCAAACAATTGTTGGATATTTTTTCATAATTGTACATCTACTTGATAAACGAAAGTCAAAGGTCTCCCATAGAAATCTTTTTGAACATCCGAAAAATTGAAAAAATTGTACTAAACCTAGTATTCTAACGTTTATTTGTACACCACATTAAAACAAATGTTCTTTGCTCACCACGAGAACGGAAATCAATTGCAATGAATACGTTTTGTAGCATAATGTAGGATTATTTTTTATATTTACAATTGTTAATCTCTGATACATACCCTATTCACAACTTCATTATGTATTAGATACGAAATGTTCCATACAATCATAAGTTTCACTCATATGCAGATTCACGAGCACGACGTGGTATTAAGAAAATCAGCCTTTGAAAATTGAGCGCCTTATAAGTGAACGAATTTTTAAATTTATGCACAGTTGGTACATACCATGTGTACATCATAATTTCTTTACTTGAGATTCAAAAAGCAATGCAATTATTAGCAGTAAAAATGGTACAAAAATTTTGTGAAATAAATTGTATGATTTCTAGTATAATTTGATATATTCTACGTATATTTATTCACAATTAAAAATTATTTTATTTCCAATGAAATTATAAATCTAACTTTTTTTTCATACAGGTAAACAATTTAAATAAGCAATTTTGATAATACAACGTGCAGTAACATATATTATTCATGAAATATTAAATTTTTTAGGATCGATTCGTTGTCGTTCTTCCATATTAATTTTTGTCCTTAAGCAAGTACCTAAATATTCTAAGAACCTCATCGTACTTTTGAATGGCTTATAAAGTACACGTTAGGCGTACTTTTTAGGTTTTATGAGACGTAACATATGAAATAAAAATACTGTTATAGTTTAATTGTAATATTTACATGTAAAGGAAAAGGATGCCACCGACAAAGCTTAACTTAGAAGCACAAAATACAAGTATACTCACTATTTTCAATGTCTGCTAAAACATAGGAGTGAAAAAAGGAAAAATACATGTACGCCTTGTTTGTTCAAAATAATAACAACCATCAGATCAGATGTAAAAATTAGATATGGGCCCTGGCATAAAAAAGATATTTACATTAAAATGTTGATACTATATATTTATAAGAATGCAATATTTTTTTCATACATATTATTTTAGACCCAATGATAGAATCACGTTGTTTAAAAATATTTCTTTCTTCTTTTCCTGCACACTTTTTACAATGCATGTAACTTTTATATAACTCTTTGTACGCACATAAACTTTAGGTTTGCTTAACAATCATAAATGCATGTTAGACAATCATTTGGTTAAAAAAATATTTTATTAACTGCAAAAAATAATTATTATTGTAAATTATTCGCATCACCGTCCGTAGTATGGAGTCGATTATACATATTAGGTGATTAACAATAACATTGAATCGATTCAAACGTCACTAACACTATTTTATATATTTACAATAATAAATTCAAACTCCTTGAATTTGGTATACCTACTCAAAAGGAACAGTGTTGCTTTGTTGTTTATTTCATTTTTTTTTTTCAAATTTCTATTTTAATATTTACGTGGACATTTTTTTTATCTCCAGTATAGCAATAAAATTAAAATCTTTAAGAGATTGACACTTATATGTATCCTATAAACTTAGTTGAGCTCGATTATTCAAAGTCCAGAATTCTATTCTGAAATAGGAGGTAATTTAAAAAGTTCCCATTCAAAGAAATGAAGCCATGAAATATTTTTACTTTATTTACAAATTTTATTTCAAATTATAGGTATATTTTCGTTTAGAAAAATAATTATAAAAAAATATTTACTATTAATAGACCATAACTAAAAAATCGCATGCATGCAATAAATAACTTCTATTCTTGTTTACTATATAATAACGCTCGTCTTATGGGATGTAAACATTGTATTTCTCTATCGAGGTAAGATTTTGTTTCATTAGTTAACACCACGGCGGATTCTACTGAGATAGTGTCTTTCTTGCTTTATCTAAATACAAAGATATATAGACAATATTAACCATTCCCTTATTTTTATAACAAAATATACAAAATACACGGAATATGTTTTTGCTTCACAGATAAATGCATCCACGAGTTGTACATATTTTTTTTTTTTTTACTGATTTCGTGTATTAAAATGGTATGTGCTAAAGAAAATTTTTTTTTAGATTTGTAACACTCAAATTTTTTTTTAACTATAAGTATACAACTTTGATACCACTGATATTTACTCAATTATCGTAGTTGTTTATCTATGTGTTTCATAGTATATTTGAAAATTATTGATACGTTTTCTGAATTTCTATACTAATTTTGATCAATATTAAAATAACACTTATGTACAAAAGTGACTGTGTAACAATCACCATTTTTAATTATTAAATAATTATTTTAAGGGATTCGCGCGATCATTAGAATAAAGTAAGGTCAAAGAATAGTCAGGGAAGAGGCAAAGATTCCTTTTTCTCACAAATCGAGTAAATACTAGTAGTGCAATGGTGTACAGCTCTGACGAGTTGGATACAGAGCCAGCGTAATATCACAATACTTTATTAATTTGATTTTTGAAGTGCGGTAACTCAATGAAATCTTAAGCTTGTAAGACACGATATAAGAGACTGGATTAACAAGAATAATGGGGGAAGGTTAAATATGTGTTATTTATATTTATAATTAGATTGTTCCAGCATAAAACGCGGGTAACTTAATGACATTTGCATCTGAGCAATCATGAGCATGGTGAAATTTATCAGTACTTTTTAATATTTTCCAATTCATTTTGGTATCCAAATGGTACAAAAGATGGTTGATTGATTGCAAGCGACGTATTTGCAAATAATATATTTGAAAAAAATGCCCGTGAATGGGCTTTTTACCGTATCTTACAAGTTTTAAATTCCATGAAAATTAACTTTGCCTAAAGCCTCAATTTTTTTAATGGTTATACACATATATACGAAAAATATATTACATTGATGGTAGTTAAAGCTGTTTATCATTCACGAGGATCATGTACGTTAATAGAAATACTCGAGTATCCAATAAGTCAAAGAAAAGCAATGTGGATTCTACTAATTTTAGGTCATGGTTTTAAATCATAATTTAATTTTCCTAGTTCATGTAACAACTTATATAAGTTATTATCCAAACATCATCACATTGGATTCTCACTCAGCCGACATTAAACTGTATATATGCTCATCAAGTCTTTACTCTTTAAGGTGCACAAAGTATTTTGTACAGCGAATAATTTTTTTTATTTAACGCAATGGTACTTAAACGTTATGTTTGTTAAACAAATTTGAGCGAATAAATTGTCACCGATGTGTGCATGTTTGTACTAATAGATTAACATGATTATTATTCGTTAATTAATGCATTTGTTTAACCGTATCAATCGAGTGAAGACCATAGTACTCCTGACGTAAAAGGATGTTCCTGGTATTAAATAAAAAAAAATAAAAAAAAAGCTTGGAATAAGTTAAAATCGAGACTACAAAAAGAGAACCCAATCATTGACTAAATGTATGCACATGTTGAATGTACAGAAACATATGCAAAGAAGGGGGTAGGTTGTGCATATGTGGCACAAGGATTCGAAAGACGTTTTTATGCGTATGTACACCATATATGATCGGTCCTCCATCTTTCTCTTTCTTTCTATATATAATTGTTCTTTTAGAGATGACATTGATGAATGAGAGCGTGTACCGGTAGCTGCCTACCCCTTTGGTATCTCTGGCATCTTCCTCCTATACCGAGGTCGTGACACTCATAGACGTTGGAGACGCGGCGCGCACTGTTGCGACGTTCTGTCAGCTCGATCTTGTCCGTAGTCTTGGTGGCCGCCGTGGTGGAGAATGATGCAGAGATATCAAAGGGTGCGTCCGGCTAATCAGCCGCTCGATGCCTCCCTCCGCAAATCCCGCACGACATTCCGCACCAGTGGAGCGCCCTTAACGGAGGGTACATCCAGAGGCAGGGAACGATCATTGACAGCAAGGCCAGGCCGAACCAACGCCGACCGCAGCCCTCTTCTGCACTGCAACTGAGAAGATCCAAATATTTTAGACGTACTTGAATGTAACAAATTTGTTTGTCTGATTTGGTTTGTGAAAAAATATTTTTTGATTTTAAAAATAGATTTGTTGACACGCATTAAAACCTGATGTAACTATAAAATTGAAAAAATTTCCGTACAAATTTTTACCTGCAAGGGTTCTGAGCGAATTCACCCTCAGCATCGCTCATACAATGATATAGCATGCAGTGTGCACAGGTCAAACAAGATACTTGGGCAATGCCAGTTCTCACTGGATCTGGCGCGTATTCGCAAGCGCCTCGTGGATTATTTTGCTCCATAAAGAGTTCTTGACAATGCTTACATCGCAACCTGAGATTCTCTCTGCCACCTTTTATCGCTAGGCCTTCTACACCTTTTGTAGGCTAGAAAAAAAATGTTAAATTTTAAACATACTTGTTGATTGTACGGCAAACTATTCGTAAACTTAATTTTTTAATGTTTTATTACCTGAGACACTATAATGTCAGGCTTTTTCAGCGAGCCAGCCGAGTTACTGCGATTCACTTTAGTAACTCGCTGTTGTTGCTGATGCTGCTCATCTATCACTGGATACAGGTACTCGTGATTAAGGGTCGTCAGCTGCACGTACGGATAATTGTCCGAAGCAAGATCTGCCGATTGTAACAGATGCGGCGGTGGCATCTTAATAATCGACGGTCCATTGTTGGGGTGACTGTTGTAGTTAGCCGAAGGTTTTTGGGGATCAAAGTGGTCCGAACACTGGGAGCGATTTTTTACAGTTAAACCAGCGTTACGTAAAGACGTTATATCGGTAGACGTTGGCGTTATTGCCGAGGATGTTAACACTGCAGCAGGTGACGGTCGTAGAGGCTCTGGAGGCTCCCCCGGTAAATTGAGCGACTACAAAGTTTTAGGATTTAGTAATGTATTGATTTAACAATTTTTTATTACATAGGTAAAAATATTACCATAAAAACATCCTCTTCACCACCATCTGCTTGATTATTTTCATCCGATAATAACGTTTGATCCGCAAATCCTATTATTATACGAGTACAATCAAGTAATACAGCACGATAGAAGAAACATTTATCATTGCACTATATCAAAGCTTACCAATGAAAAATCCCACAATTAGTAAAGCATTAAAGATATTAATTCAGTTAATTGTCATAATTTTTATAGTAAAAGAAATAACAAGATTTGTGATTAAATACATTAGAAACATTAGCAGAAAGTTATAGAAAAGTTATAGAAAGAAAACTGTCTTACAGACTTTATTGATAATTATTTTTCTCAATTCAACTGTTTTTTAATGAACTTATTTGAATTTCGAAATACCGTCAAACAATTCTTCAATCGCCATCCGAACTCCTTTGTCAAATGCACGAGCGTCGGCAGCCGTTTGAAAAGTCAGTCCATATCTATACTCTCCTGTGTGCCAGTGATGAAAAGTGGGCATTACTTTGTTATACACAAAGTTTTTCTCGATTAAGCAATTGAGAATATCCTGCCGGACGAATGAATTCTCTAAGTAAAATATAATACAGAAATTATTAAATTTTATTAAAAAACTTACATGATTATCTGCAGCTCTACGCCCATAAATAATATATTCATTTGCTGGTCTGTAACCAGTTGATGGAGAACTTTCAGACACCCCATTGTCCTGGTTACCATTAGTGTCTTGAACTAGATTTGTATGAACATTTGGTCTTCTTATAACAGAGACATTGATTAAACCTCCTCCCTTGAACGGCAGCCAGCCCCCTGTAGTATCATCTCTGGTCATAACTTGTGCACGTACATTCACCAAAGTGTTAACACTGGAATAAAGAAATGTATTAGTTTAATTTATTCATACTGTAATTTTATTTATTGTAGCTTAATATAAAACATTATATGAATGATAAAAAATATATCTCTACATACTCTTTGAGCAAAAAAAAAAAATTAGCTAAATGAACAAAGCCATTCATTGAGGTTTTGATATGAAAAAAAAATCCATGAATGAGTCTTACGGTATTATAAGCTTTGACTGTTTAATCATCAAGTCAATGTTAACATGATGAATGAGACTAGATAAGTCTAACATGGTCGAATTCATTCAACAAATGCGAAATCCTTTTGAATAGTTGATTACTTGTTATCAGATAAGAATTAATTAATCTTGATTAAGAATGCAATACGCGTTTTGAGTACGTAATCAAATTTTATTTTTATTAAATCACCCAAACGTATATTGTGAAACGATATTTCCAAATAAAAATTTCATTCATAAAACAATTGCAGTAATTATGATTTTAGTAGTTTCAGAAAGTAATGATCTATCATTAAACATTATTCCAATCAAACAGTTAAGTATGCTTTAACTGTAATGTAGTAGTCACACAATCATTTATTATTTTTCCTTCTTAACTTCCGTTCCTTCTCTCAGTAAACAGATCTGCCATTCAACTCATTGATTAATAGTAAATTTGATAAAAGTCAACATTATTTTCATAAGGAAAATTTTGCTTCATATTATTGTTAAGAAATTCAATTATTCGTTTGAATGAAACTTTAACTGAAAAAAAAAAAAAAAAAAAAAATGTAAATTCATATATTCAACAAAATTCGTGATTAATGACAGCTATTACAAGATTCTGATGATTACTACGAAAAATTCAGATATAAGTTTCATCCAAACCGCAGTGCGAGCGTAAAATTTAATGCTCATATCGAAGAATTAGTATATCCCTCTAAAATGACAGGGATGAATGAGGGAAGGTGCGTATAAGTAGTAAAATGCCATTGATGATTGGACAAGATGAAAGCATGAAAGATGAAAGGAAGAAAAGGTGTGCGTGCAAGGGATGGAGGACAGGAAGTAGGCTCTATATAGATACTTGGTGTCTCTCTCTTTCATCGTCCCATCCTCCTCTTCCTTTTTACCACTTCCATCTTCCATCGCCCATACATACACACAATGTGTATATAATACATACGCGTTCCCACATACATGTATGCCCACATTATCCGATATACCCACGCGCGTCGCCAAAAACTCTCAGCTCTCTGCACATCCTGCCTGCAGTCTCATCTATACGTTATCCACACTTATATGCATAATTACAATTTCCCTCAACAACCCTTTTTTTCTCTTTTATTCTCTTTTAAACATTTTGTTATAGAAAACACTTACTGCATAGTAAATGCCTAATTGAATGAAATATACATGAAAAAAAAAAAAATTAAAAACCAATATTCAAACAAACGCATGATAAAATGGATGGATAGGTACTAACTCGTCCGCTGAATCTATCATGGTTCGTGCTCTCGAGAAGCGCAACCTTTTCCACAAGCGTTTTTCTTTTCCTCTTCTTCTCGGGCTGAATGAAGCTCGAGAAACAGCTCGCTGCACGGCTCACCATTTTTTTCCTCCCCGGGTCCAGAGAGCCAGAGAGTTACCACCACCTTCGCCTAAGTACTGCAGACAACAACTATTCGCATAAGTACACCAGGCGCAGCTGCTCTTCTTCCTTTTTATTACGAGTAAAGTACAACTTGCAGTGCTACTACTACTACACGGACAACTGCATCTTGGTGCAACTGCTGCTTCTTTCTTTTTCTTAAAATTCCTAACTGCATTTAATGAGCACATATTACAACACAAAACAACTCCGGAAGTACCTATCTATTATTCTCGATGATGATGATCTAGTCGTCACAGATTAACTTGCTGGAATTAGGTAAGCCTATAGTAAGTATACTCCGGAGCTCCGGACTGATAGCCATCACCAGACACCATCGCACGACGGTGCGTTGGCTAAAAAACATGCACACTAAGGTAAGGTATAGTTCGCACACTCGCTGGCTCTTTCTCTTTTCTCCCCTTTTGCTTATTTTTCGGCGGGGGCGGGGGGACTCGCCTGGTCGCTCCCTTGCTAGTGCATATGCTTCCGCGGCCGTACTGTATAGTTTTACATAGTTTACTTTACACACACGCGCACCAGCGCGAGGAGTAAAAGAGAACGAGCCCCCCGCCCCGCGCCATACAAGCAAAGGGCAGAGAGAGCGAACGGAGCAAACGCATTACATGTTTTTTAGAGACACACCACCGTCGTCTGCCGTCAGCGTGGGATATTTTTACACCTATAACTCGGCTGTGATGACTTATCCGTCCAAACTTCATACTTTTAAATACCTGTAGGTTAACGTACATTACTGCAGTCTCAACGATCATCATCAAGAACAGTAGGTTCTCCGAAATTAATTAGCTAGTATTTAATATTTGCCCTCGTGCAACTATAGGTCTATAGGTATATTGTTAAAAAAAAAGAAGAAAAAAAAGGAGCTTTAGTAGCAGCGCGCGTATGAATGGTTGATGTCAGCAGTCCTGACCATCAATGAATGGATCCGGTACCCGGAATATAGTTACGTTGGAGATCGGAGCAACGTACGACACGGCGTTTTTTCTCAATGAGTTACATTTCCATCATTGGTGCGCGTCAATTTTTTCCACAATTTCGGGTCTGACAGCGCAATACTACTTCTTACAACCTCTTGATCTCTTATAGGTAAAAATCACATTTATTACTAGCTGTGAATGCTAATTTTTACTCGGAGCTTTGTCGTTATTGTCGCCCTTATCTGGAGGTTTATTTAAATTCGTGCATTTACCGGTTTAATGAAAAACTTCCTTAAACCATTTTTGTTTTTTTGCAGGTATTTAGTATGTAGTGCAATCATTTGATCTCAACATATCCTTGTACAGTATCTTTTTTTGAATGTTTACACAATTATTATAATATGATACAAAACTAAATAAATAATTAATAAATTTGCTTAGTGATGCTCTCGGAGTCGATTACTGTGAGTACGAGTAGCGCGATTGAAACCTCATTTTCTTTTGTGAATGTTTACCGATTTATACATTAGATTTGGGCGCCAGGTAACTTCATTAGTCATTAAGTCATATTGTTGCACATCGTTAAAGGTTTTAATTGTGTAAACATCCAAAAAAGACAACACTGAACACACAATTGATTTAAATCGCCCGCCACGTCCACCGTTGAATAAAATTTTGAGAAAACACCACACTAGCGCCACCTGGCGGATAATTTTCCGAAACAAAAAAGGGTACTTTTTAGTTTATAATTAACATCGCTAGATGGCGCTGATGGTATTAACAATTTTTATCATTTTTTGGATCACCACACCAATTAACCAATACTTGATTAACAAAAGTTCTTGAATAACAAACTATTGTTGTTATTAATGTGACTACGATAGTTTTCAAAATAATGATACTCCATTTACTCGAAATATCTGACACAAGGTAGATAGAGGACTTAAACTTTCGTGTCATTTTTCTTACTGGCTTGAAAGCTTCCGGGGACCATATTCTATACCGGAAGCAAAATGTTAATGTTATTTTTTTTTTTTTAAACTGTTATCGATTTATGTAGTATCTAAAAAATGTGTAAGTATTCATAGATTCATACACGATACACGAAACACGATACACCTCACACGCAGACAACACAGGCGTGCGCAGATCATATATATTACAAAAAGTGTGCACTAGTGTGTATAAGAGTGTAAAAGATAAAAGTAATATATGTGTGGGTTAGGGTGCGCGTCAATGTTCTATAACGATAACGTGCCTTGGTAACGCGTACGGCGCAAGCGGAGTTTCGGAGCAGGAGAGCGAGCGTCGAGGCTCCGGTGAGCGAAGCTTGTCATCGTCGTCGACGGCCGTCATATAAGTATACTAGCGTACGCGTTTAGTAGACAGAAGTGTGTGAAAAAATAAGCTGACTTGGTGTACATATATGTTCGAGGAGTGTGCCCTGCTGCGTGCTGGTGCCGGAGCGATGATGTGTACTAGAAAAGAAACGTGTGTATGGTGATAATTATTGTCCAATAGAGGCGCATGCAGGAGGCAGCGACTGTGGCGGCGGTGGCGGAGGCGGCGGGGCGACGACGACGACGGCGACGACCCAGACGGCCGAGCAGTAGCTGGTAGTCGGCGACCCAAAATGACGGCGGTGCAGTCCGCGCCTCCGACAACGATTATTAACAATACGGTGACCGCGACGACGGTGGTTACGACAACGACGACGACTACGACGTTGACGGCTACGGCGACGAGTAGCAGCAGCAGCACCAGCAGCAACGGACTGGGTGGTGCGGGTAATAGCGGCAACAACAACGGCATCAGCTCGATATTGCAGTACGTCAACGAGTCGAATTTGAGCAAAATTGAAAGGTGAGCCCGGTTGTATCGATAACCCAATATCCTCACCTGTATGGGTTTTGAAACACGCCCACATGCACCCTGAGTTTTTCCGGGGAGTACTGCGCGCGTGTGTAAGGGCATAAGGTAGATTAGATTATAGTATTTTTAATGGGAACATTTGGCTTTTGATGTTACAGTTTTCTGAACGACTCGGCTTACAGGGAAGCCATCGAGAATTCGTCCAGCTACAATAGCCGATTATGCAGGGAGCGCAGGTTACGCATGCCTTTCCTCGACTCCCAAACGGGTAAGTTTTGTGATTGTATGGTCATCTTTTCCATAGGCCTTGCACACAGCCATCGCGGCATTTGTTCTCATCGTCATCGTGTTCGAGAGCTTACGCAATTAAAATCGGAAACTTCCCCATGTGTATTTTTCATCGTTGCTGTAACCTAGGCATTACGGAGCAGTGTATAGCACAACTTACATCGGCGCAATCGGCGCTCTTTTTCGGAGCCATGTCTCATGCTACACACGCGCTCTTCTCTTCTGCTCTTCTTGTTTTCATAAGTATATGTGGCGTGTGTACGTATATATAGCATTTACTGTGTATAGACACACACGTAGCCGTAGAGCTCGCGCGCGCGGTGCGTCCCTAGTCCCTACTTACTTACAACACATTAAGAAGCACACGAACAACGATCGGTTTTGAGAGCTTTCGCTATGTGTATGACTGCATAAGTATGCATAGAAAAAAAAAAAACAATACGTTTGCATGAGCTAACGTAAATTATCGCTGTTGCTCTTTCTGTTGATATTTTCCAAAGTTCTTTTTGGAGCATTGCTCACACAGCAGTAGATCATGCGTTATTTACCATTATCCGGTTATCCTTTGTTGTTTGAAGTTCTAAAGTTGTCACAAGGCGCGTAAGTACTTGTTTTACGTAAATTGGTGATTAATCGACGTGAATCTGTACTTTTTTCAGTTACTTAGGGATATCGTCAGCTTTTACTATTATATTTTCAACAGAAATTTAGATTTTTCAAGTATTATAGACACATCACTTGAATTCAACATTCATAAATTTGTAAACATAATTTGAGTGATTTAATTATCTTGTAACCACGGTGTATTGATAGTTTCAATTCCTATTTTTACAGGAGTCGCACAAAATCATTCAAATCTGTTCATGTCTGCAAGAGAACGTCTTCCAGGCTTGCAGCATGGCCAAATATACACATATCCGAGCAAACGGTGGCGGAAAAAACGGAGACAGTATTTAATGAACTATTTCCATCCCAAACGAATCATCAGAGGTGACATAGAAGATGGAGTCGACTGTGGAATCGAAACTTCCCTTCCTGGAGTCAACGATGACAGTAAAGACTCCTTAGCATTGAAAGGTAATGATCGATGGCTGTAAGGATTCATTTTAAAAGTATTTAAAAAGGCATGTAATTAATTGATTTTTTTTTTATAGATGAGCATAGCAAAGATGCCTGGTATCTCGATGAGCAAGATATGTTAGACATTGAGCCATACGACGAACCCGATCCGGATAGCGATTTTGATTATGAAGAAAGTTACAGTAGTAAGAGAAAACGAAGAAAACCGCGAGGTAGTGGTCACCACCCTGCCAGAAATCATCCACCAGCGACTGACAGCCCATCTGGAAAAAGAACAAAAGTAAATTTTTATTAAAAAAGGAAAAAAATTTAATCTGATTGTTTTAACTTCAATATAAAACATTTTTTTTTTTTTTTTTTTACAGGGTGGCGGCCGTGGACGTAAAAAAGTCAACTATGATGCCAGTGACACTGACAAGCCGTTCGTTTGTGACCGTAAGTTTAACCACAGATACAACTACAAATGACAACTTCCTCTTATTTGTGTAATTACAGGTTGACTATTACTACTCTACTCGATAAAAAAAAAAAAAAAAAAAAAAAAAAAGCAAAACAGAACTAAACCATAAATACACTGCGTCTATAAAGGATTGTTTATTCTGTTGGAGAAAACAACATGGATTCATAGCTTTAAATACTTTTTAGATTGACGTTTCATTATTTAATTTTTATTTATATTATTGGACGGAAAAAACTAAGTAAATATTAACAAGCTAAATCATGAGATAACTTTCTATAAAATTGTACTAAACAATTTTGTAACGAAGCTATATCGACAGTTGATAATTGAATTATGATACAACACTACTTCACTCATAGATTTACTTAGTATGGAAAAAAGGATAGTTATAAAAATAATATATGGATCGTTTTTTAGTAACATGATTCAATTACTCATTAAGATGAAAGTCGTTAAGAAAAAAATATAAACTGTTATCTAATACGAAAAGAATTAAAAAATTATTAGATATTTTTTCATAGTACAAAAAAGTAGATCAACTTAAATAAATTTATCAAATTAATTCCTAAAACTTAGTAACGTAGAACATTAAATCCTTTAGTAATACACTTTCCAATGAATTTCTGTGAATGCTAATTTTT